TATGAGTATAATTGTAAATTTATCGCTGTGTATTTATTAAAAATGTATTTGAATTGTGTTGTAGTAATTAAAATTTGTAGTGGTAATATAATTACTATTCTTCTTGTTGTTTATTTTTTGGTGATTTTAAATGTTCATATTTTCATGCAATTTTTTGAATTTGGATATAACAAATGTCGAAAATATATGACGTTAATGCCCCTATTTGGGCTCTGCTAAAGGTAGATTTTTGGGAATATATGTTTGGAATGGTGAAATTTTTGAAAAATGTATTGTTAAAAAATACAGAAACGTTTTAGGTTTATGCGAGATATTATTTTATTGAAAAATATATGGTTAAAAATAAGAAAGAAGAAAATTATTTTTAAAAATGGGGCCCAAACAAGGGCAACATGTCGATACTAGAATCGGCGGTTTAATATTGTGGTTGAACTTTGAATTTGAAGCGTAGAATTTTTAAGCAGCGAAGGAAAATTTGAATTGAACATTGTACATTATTTCTCATTTGATGGACAAAATTACGAACTTTCTTGGTCAAAATCTCGTATTACAATGCTCATGTTTGGTGGAAATTAACATTCAGATTTTAATCTAAATCAAAGTCAACAATTAATTTTAACCACACATTTTATTAACTTTTATCAAAATCTACTGAAAACTTAATTTTAAATCCTACCAAACATGGGTTATGGAAGTCTCGAGTCTGTTGTGCAAAAGTTGAGCATGCTAAACAAGCATTGAATTTTGCTGTGCAAAGCTCGAGTTTATTCTACTAACTAACGTCAAATGTACATAACTTTTGATTTAACAACTCACAATTGCACCATTTTGTTTTTCTTCGAACTCTAAAATCAATAATTTTTTCAATAGTCGTGCTATGTGTACACATAGGGGATGACATAATGTGAGTAGGGTAGCACGGGCCCCACCCCCACTCCACTCACATTATGTCATCCCTTATGGATCAATCTATGTACATATAGATTAATCTTTTTTTCAATCATATATTATTTATCTTGTGGATATCTGTGTAACAAAAGATTCCTCACATGCTCTGCACGTGGATTCCTCATTTCGTCTTTGTGGACCCTTTTTTGCCCGAACTTAATTTTGTTGCGCCGATCATTTCATATTCACGGTGCACTTTTACCCTTTATTTAGAACCTGTTTGTGTCCTATTTTTGATTAAAAAATGCATTTTGAAATAGTGATTTGATAGAAAATGTGTAGTTAAAAATAAATAATTTTTTTGGCTTGCGTGTAACACTACTTTATTGAAAACTGTGTAATTGAAAACAAGAGAAAAAATATATTTTTTAAAAATAATGGGAATCAAACAAGGACTCAATATAAGAAATACGCACAATCAACTATAAAATTCGGAATTTTACAATTGAAAGTTTCTATAAAATTCAATAGTTCATGGCATTTCGAGATTCTTAACACTTCCGACAATCTCCAAATTTTGATATTCACTAATATTGAATTTTAAAAAATCTTGAAATGTTGTAGAATCTTGAATTTATTTTATCGGAACATTTAATTAAAATGGAGCCCAAACAATAGCTAATATTGATCGATTTTATCTCACCATCGAATTGACTCTGTTCAATTGTTTACGTCACCCTATCCAATTTATTTGGGTTAATTTGGCGTGAAAACTGGACATATTGATAATCCTAATTTGTTAAATGAATTTAGGACCTACTGAAAAAAGATTAAAAAAAATGTATTTTCTTTAAAAAAGGTTAAAAAATAAAAAAGCATATTTATACCTAATTTTTTTTTAATTAAAATGTATTTCCGAATGATAATTTGTTGGAGAATGTGTGATTATAAAGTAAAGAAAAATTTTGAATTTACGTATAATATTATTTAATCGAAAAATATATTATTGAAAATAAATGAAACTTGAATAGCACAAGATTCCCATAAACATGGCGGGGATTTTTGGCGCCACTTCTCTGAATCCCGCGTTTCACGCGAATTCCCCTCTATTTTCTCCCATTCATCCCTCTGCCAAATCGTTTATACCCTCGTCAATTGGCAACTACTCACGAAGCACACATCAAAAGTTCTGTTCTTTTGCCCTAGAAATGGCTCAAAGAGCGGAAAATCGTACCCCTGAAATCAAAGAACCAAACCCCAAAATCCCAAAACTCCAACAAAACGGCGATTCTGAAGCACACCATGAATTCACTTCCTTTTTACGCGTCAAAAAGCTCTCAGAAAAAGCTATTTTGCCATCGAGGGCCTCACCTCTTTCCGCAGGCTTTGATTTGTCCAGGATTTATGATTTAATAGGTGTTGGGTAAGTTTTTTTCTACAATCATAGGGCGAACAATACAAATTCTTATTGATTTCTGATGGGTTACGGATTATGCAGTGCAACCATGACTAAAGTGCCAGCCAGAGGCAAGGCTTTGATTCCCACAGATCTTAGCATTGCCATACCAGAAGGAACTTACGCACGTATTGGTAATTTTCTACTGTATTTCTACATATGATTCACGTTAAATCCCTTAATCTATAGTGATGGGTTTTTCCGATTTTATTATATAGCGCCACGATCGGGGTTGGCATGGAAACATTCCATCGACGTAGGAGCGGGGGTGATTGATGCAGATTACAGGGGTCCAGTTGGGATCATTTTGTTTAACCATTCTGATGTGGATTTTGAAGTGAAGGCTGGTGACAGAATTGCTCAACTTATTATTGAGAAAATCTTAACTCCTCAGGTAACAGAGGTTGATGATCTTGATTCAACCATTAGAGGCTCGGGCGGTTTTGGATCTACTGGTGTTTAATTTTCTGCAATCAGAATGGTATATCTTGGGGAATTGTATGTTGTTACTATCATTAGCACCATGATAAATTTTAGATTCTAGCATTCTGCGTGCTGTCTTCTAGTTGATCACATTGTAGATGTGTTGGCTACATGAACTTTGTTTTGTTGTTACTTCAACCGTTAGTGTCCGTTTGATAGCAATGAATTCTACGAAAAATGTCACATATGAGAAAACAATTTTTAATTTTGCCTTTTGATTGCAACGTGTAAATTAAAATCGAATTTCAAGTTACAATTATTTTAAACTGCATTTTCTTTGTTTTCATGGAAAACGAACTTTTATGGGTTTGTTATGTTTTTATTTTTCAACTAATATGTAATTAGAATTCATTTCCACTTTTGTGTATCAAACAGACCATTAGATTCAAAGTAACAAGATTGTTTTAACACTAATATTTTATGCTTGTTTGGCTAAACTTAGGGCTGTCCGTGGATCGATTCGGTTCTGAAGAGAATCGAACCGACTCAAAACTTTCGGGTATTTAATAAATGGAATCGTCGGATCCAAATATAATTATGGAACTGTTCGTATTCGGTTCCATTCGGTTTCGTACTATAATTAAATTTTTTTAATATTTACAGTAACATTACATAAATACAACTAATGACATTTCATTCGTAACTTTTATAAATTAACGTAGCTCAATTCAAAAACATATAAATAATTAGCCGTCCAATAAGATTAATTCAATGCATACAAATATCAAAAAGTAGATATTAATATTACAACAAAACTATATAAAGTAAATTCATTTGCTTCAAGTAGTCTGTCTGCATAAAGAAAATGAAATATAAATTAAAAGTTATAAAAATAAAATAATTTAATTAATTCAATATAAAAAATAAAAAAATTATTTAGTTTCGGTTCTTATTCGATTCTTCGGTTCTTGGTCTAGACC